ACTGTTGCTGGCTGCGCCTCAGCAGCGTTCCTGTGGTTTGGACCGGTGCAGTCGAATGCTCCGAAGTGGACGAGATTCCAGCAGCTGCGTGAGATTCCAGAAGTTTCGCACTTTCCCCCAGAAGCATCCGGAAACGGTCTGGAGTATGACTGCTGCCCATCCCTCATGAAGCAGGTTTAGGGTTTAGTTCTTTTTTAAATCCTCTTATTTGTTCTCATTAGGGTGTATATATATATATATATATATATATATATATATATATATATATATATATATATATATATATATATATATAGTTACTTTTTGTGTTTTGGTGGAATTTCTGCTTTTCCGTTAGTCATCATGTGATTTATATAAAAATACATTTTCTTTTAGCATCAATTAAATGTTTGTTCCAGCCTGAATTTTTAATCCTGAGCTGGTAAGAAGGTAACATCACAGCTGAATTAAAAGGGTATTACGTACAGAATATAAAACCAGAATTACACCAAAATCAACTGTAAACCAAATCAATAAGAACGACTTTGCATCTTTAACTACCCTTAGTCTGGATCAGTTTTAACTAAATAATTAAAACCGATCCAGACTAACGGCAGTTTTAATTAATTGATAAAACAATGATTTTTAACCCCAAATAAAAAAATACCTCCAGGCTCATGGCAGGTAGTGGCAATGGAAGGCAAAAATCTTCCTTATCAGCAAGAAAAATAATCTTTTTACTCACTTTTAGCATTTTAAAAATGAATATTTAAAGCATATTTCAATAGAACAAATAAATGGGCATGCAGGTCTTTGGTCACTTGTCCGTTATTTAGCTTCTCTAAAACACAGAATACACTGCACCATGATTTTTTTTTTATAGTTTTTTTTTGTTTATTTCAGCAAAAACTGATAAATGCCAAGAAAAGTACAGACACCTGCAGCAGAAACAAGTAAGTACATATAGTGCATGTCTGGTTGTAAAGCTGAACTCTGACACTTCACTAGTAACACATTCAAACATGACCAAACTCACAAGTTAATACTCCATACGTCTCCGCCGTCGGTCTTTCCGGGACCAGCCTTCAGAATAAACAGAAGCTGCCACAGTTAATGCCCTGTTGCATCAAATATTCAATTAGCTTTTATTCCATAATCAGAATGTGCAAACGTTAGAAAAAACGCTGTTTCAAAATACTGTGCATACATGTTAAGAACGTGTGCATGTTCAGGCAGGTCCACATGTCATCACTTCCCCAACATTACGAAGAAAAACGGGTGCAGGATTTGGTTCACGTTGATTTACAAAAAAATAAAATAATAATAAAAAAAACCCGAAAAAAAAAAGAACAGAAAACACAACAGTAATCAAGAGTAAAGCAGAACAGGAACCAGAGGGATCCGAGCGCACGTCACCGTACTGCCGGACCCGAACGAGGCACAAACCGGACACAAAGCGTCAGTCCAATAAAACAAAGACTACGGTCTACATCATGCTGACAAAAATACAGCTCAGGCCACATTCCATCTTTAGGTTTAGGAATAAAAAAATACTTCATGTGATAAAGACTCTGGTGTTCGATCTGTTTGTAAGAATATATACACATAGATTTGTTTCTTTTTTTTTTTTCTTTTTTCCAATTTTAACTGAAACATCCGAGCAGCTCAGAACAACCGATTGAATCGTCACAAACGGGTCAAAACCTACATTCAGTTCATGCTGAGGACGAGGGGGAATACTGGAATCTTTTACAGATAAACTGAACCGGGGGAAATGTATTCTTCTTCTTCTTTTATTTATTTATTTTTCTTTTCTCCAGTTGTTCTCCTGGGTGACCTGAAGGGTCACAATGCAAACGTCCTGAAGGGGGTGCAGTGCCTGGGTTCTTGGTTGCATTAATCATTATCTGTAACAGTCGATGCCATTGGTTCTGAGGCTTGGTGGAGTTGAACCAGCAACTTGAAATCAATCTGGTATCCGGATGGGAGGGTTGCTCTTTGAGTCGGAAAGTTCAGCTTCGAGGACGATGGTTTCAGTGTATCACAGACGTTCTTGTGGAAAGAAGAGGTTCGTGCTTAGGCTGTCCTGGCGAATGACGACTCTGCGTCGCATTAAAAACATCCACAGAGTAGCGGACAAACCATCAAAACCAACACTGCGAGAAGAGAATGTGCTTAAACTTAATTTTATACCCCAATTTCAGGAAAACATTTAGGTCAGACTCTCTGAAGTACATTGTTCCTTTACATTTGCTGCCAAAACACCACTGAAGAAAATTTGGTAGTTAACCCAAAGATGGATGCATCTGTTTAAATTCTATGTTTGGTTTTACGTGCAGCGAACAAGACTGCGACAAGCCAGCAGTAAAGGACAAAGTGGTTTGTCAGCCGTTGTGATGCTATTTTTCATGATGCAACAGTCAGAAGAGCTAAACCATCATGCAGAGCTAATTGCACTGCTGCAATTAGGGTTTGTTGTACGAGCAAAAAGCACAAATAGCTGTTAACCTGATCGTGACGTGATCTTTGTTTGAAATGCAGACCAGAAATCAATGGAACGGCCAGGAATCTAATGGTATACTGTAATGAAAGGGATTTATGGAAGGATAAATTGATCTAAAACCTGCAAACAAACAGGCTATCCACAGACTCAGTTTTACTTTATAGTCTGAAACTGTTCAAATTATTCGGATTCACTCAGAATTAGCACCGGTGGATCATTGTTGGTCATTGATTTCTGTTAAAGCACAAACTTTGATGTCAAGATGTGGAAAATCCTCCATCCCACGTCTTAGGGGTCTCTGTAATCTCACAATTTCAGTTGTTGCCGAGTCCATAATTTGTGAACTGCAGCCTTACATGCTGACCTTACTTACATGTCGCTGAATGTGCCTCTAATCACTGGATTTCTTTGCACAAAGGCCTGTGAGGAGGGGTTTAATGATCCAATCTGAGCTGATTTTGATGGGGAGTGAATACAGTGAGGCTCTGACCTTTAGATTTAATACAATAAGCCATAAACTGGATGAAGGTTTTATCGCAGCTTTCAGCTGTGACGTGTCGCTGAAGGAGAGGATGCGAGTCCTTGCTGGATGCAAGGACTGCTGGTGTCATGAGGTAAAAACACAGACGACTCAGTCGTTTGCAGTGGATTTAATGTCCATGTAACGTCCGTTGTCCAACAACGCGCTTCACCTCTACAGTGTGCTGCTGAGAATCTCTGAGACCTGCGCGTTTGTCTGGTCGTCTGAGTCCACTTCCTGGGCAGTGGCTCCCTCCGGCTCCTCCCCCTCCTCTCCAGACTCTGCTTGTGCTACAACCACTGACACTCCCGCGGCCGTTACAGTCTCCTCCTCCTCCCGACTCGGCGACGCATCCTTGCAGGGCTCCACAAAGATCCTGCGAACGTGGGGCCGCTGTTCCCGGTTCCGGGCTTTACGATTCTCCAGGACGCAGGAGGCGTGGCTTACGTAGGTGTGGCCCTGCGGTGAGGGTGGGTCCCCCAGTGGAGTTAGGTCGGCGTCCAGTTGCCTGGTGTAAACGCCCTCCGATAAAGACCCAGTGAGACTCTCCCCACTATGGCCCCGGAGCCAGCGTTGGGGTCCGCTGAAATACTGCCCCCGGTGGCTCCTTGAGAGCAGTTTGCGTTTGGCCGGTGGATTGGCAAGACCCCTCAGAGGGGCTGGGCCCTCCTTAGTAAGTGAGAGGCCCTCAAAAGTCTTGGTGGTGTCGGACAGAGCCGGGGACAGGGGGGACGACATGGGGAGATCTTTGTAGAACATGGGGGACAAGGGAAGGGAGGGAGATATAGGCAGGGTTCTGCAGCGAGATGGCGGGTTAGGAGAGGTGGGGAGGGAGAGATCTGCAGATGGAGAAGTGGAGGTAGGTAGGAGAGGATCCTTCCTGGGAGTGGAAACAGGGAAGTCTGTCGGTGGGCAAATACTGTACCTGAGAAAGAGAGAAATCAGATTAAAGGTGAGGTAAGTCCGGGCCACTCGGCTTAGCCTGCTACTTCTGTGACCGGACCCCGGGTAAGCAGAAGAAAATGGATGGATGGAATCAAACTACAGGGGCAATTCCCCTGTTCTGAGGAAAGTAAAGCCAGTAGAAAAGCCGGCATGTTTGGTTTCTTTCTATACCCTCCAGAAAGAAACCCTCTTTTGAGGCGGTATTGTAGTCCGAAACTGGAGGAGAGGATTTTAGTGTCTGAATTTCCGAAGTGTTTAACGTTACCTGAGTTCGTGGATCTGCAGGACGTCGGGGGCGCTTCCACCTAGCGAGTGCATGACCTGCTGGGACAGATCTGAAGCTGGGGAGTAGAGCAGATCTAGTTCGCGGGGGCTCAGGGCGTCACTGGAGTCATAGTCGCTGTCGGTGGGCAGGAACACCTCAGAGGAGCCATCCTCATCTGAGCCGAGCAGAGAGTCTGTCAGACAGACGTTCAGGGTAAAAATCTCTGAAGGTGCTTTGAGTCCGCTTTTAAGAGGAAAATCTTCATACGCACCACTGATGGCCTTCCTCTGCCGGAGCTCTGGCGACGGGGAGGGTGTAGGCATGTAGTCCATTGTGGAGGAGGTGGAGTCAGTCTTCTGCTGTCCAGAATCACTCTCTGAAGCACTGGCGTCCACCAGACAGGTGATGAGGACACCGCCACGGGGTTGCTTGTAGCGCGCGTACTGGAGGGCGTCCGTTATCCAGCGGAGGTCGCGCCGCATCTCATCCAGCTGCTGCAGAGACGAAAGGACAAGCAAATAGGATACTGGGGAACATCCTAGTCTTAACATAGCACACGCCAAACTATCCAGAGATTGACCATGACTTTGGAATTATTTGTATAAAGAAGAATTCATAGTAAGCTCAATAGAAGCAAAGGTGCACAAGTATTCTGACTGGAAAACTTCCTCCAATCGCGATCCCTTTATTGCTATGCTTGACAGTTGGTGTTGTGCATTCGTAGTACCGGTGGGGCAATGAACCCTTCCGACACTTCTCTGTCAGGAACAAAGGAAATGCATCAGCTGTCTTAATTACAAGCACTGATTTATCTAAAAAGCTCTCACTGACCAAACCTATCCAAGTGAGTGATCACGGTCTGCATAGAAAGTGACCAGACTAAGTTAACCTGGAGGATCACTCTTTAAGCACAAAAAGCAAGCAGACTCCAAAACTTTAGAGAGGAGCAACTGTGAGTCCAAACTGGATTTAGAAAGCACCTAGACCTTTTTCCTTCACCTGTACCGTTGATGTGTGTAATGTCAGAATCCTGTGAAAAAAAAGTAAATTCCACGCTAAGATGGTTAATGAACATTGACGACCGTCCCTGGGTTTCTGCCTCTGAATGCCGAGTGAACTCTGTTGTGGCACCATTTCTCGATAAAAATTGAACCTTGGCTTGCGTGGGGACAGAATGTGTTGGCATCAGCAAGATGTGCTGGGTTGAACACACTGGAGTAACTTGCTGAACATTGTTTGACCTCATCCACTGAAAAAGGTGAGGTCTTTGGAGATTTGAGAAGTCAATTCCAGGTTTCTTGTATCTGGGTTAAAAAAAAAAAAGCCCTTGCTTAGACTACATTATTTTTCGAAAGTCTTTTTTGCTTTGTGTCTCCATCTCCTTTGACAGAAAAACCTGAAAAAGACTTTTTGAGTGTCTGAGTCTAAATTGTTCCGTACTGCCAGAAGAACTGAGATCCCAAGACAGGTTTGTGATGATTAATCACGAAATTATTACTCAAAATGATATTTTTACTACTATGTATCAAACACTGTCTTGAGATTATGGATATTTGCAAATAGTTGGACTAGGTTCTGTCCACGACAACTTTCGAGGTACTTATACCGATGTTCTAGGTTTGATTTTCTTATCACTATGGTCCCAAAACAGAGTGATGGGAAAGAAGTAAAACAGACTAGGAGTCACAAGACAAAAAAACACACGAAGAAGCTCCTTTGCAGAAGAGGCTGGATGTTTAAGGATAACACACAACTCCTCCATGTGGATCAGATAATTTGTTGTGTCACATTAAAAATCTACAATTATTCTCTGACTCTCCCTCACAGTCTCATCACGCTGTTTTGGTTAACCTCAGTAGGAAATTTGGAGAATCCAACCGAGACAATGTGGTTGTGGAAAAGCTACTGATTTAAAGTTCAGATGCTGGATGGATTGTTTAGTATGTAGTGTCTTTTCATACTTTTTTTTAAAACTCTTGTAAAAGCTTTTTTTTCTTGGTTTTTATGTATTATTTAAAAAAAATTGTTCAAAAATATTTTTGTAACCTTTTTCTAAGTTGGTTTTGCTTTAAAATAGTTTATTTTTGTCGCCATTTCACATCAATAACTATTTTTACATAATTGATCACATTGATTCTGTCTTTTTGATCATTTCTGCTTCTTTCTTTATGTATTGTGTTATTTCTGGTTTCGGTTTGAGATGGATCTGCATCTGTCCGTCAGATATTGGACCTCTCAGCGCTGGAGCTCCAGCGCCAGCACCGTTTGATCTTCTTGGCTCTCTGTTCTGCTAAAATGCAGACAGGCTGTAGAGGGATGACAACAAACAAGAGATTTCCTGGAGATTCCACCACACAGATAAAAAAAAAAGTTTTCTTTTGCAGCTTGGGAAGAAAACGGAGCCGTGGAAGTCTTTAAGTTTCCATCTGCAGCAGATTAAACTGACAGCAGCTTCGTGATTTAAACCGCAGATCTGCTGAGGTTTCAATTGTCGCTCTGCAGCTTCAGCAGCTCTCGCAGACTCCTCGGTATCTGTGTCCGTCTGAGGAGTTCAACTTTACACATTAATGTAGAAATGTAGGATTAAGGAATTGCTTTAATTCAAGAAAGAAGAAGCTGCAGAGTAACACAAGACTCGTGCTCAAGGGAGAGGGTAATTCCTATGGAAATTTCATCCTTTTCAGCATAAGGACGGTGGGCCCGCGGCATCACTCTTCACCAAACAGGAATACAGAGACGGGCATAAAAACTTTAGGTTTTAAGCGGTCACTTTGTGAAAAATATTTCATCCTGGAAAAGAGAATCCCATAGAAGCGGGAGATACACTGGGAGATAGTTGGCAAAAAATATTTTTTGTTTGATGTTTATTCAAGTTGATTTGAGTCAAAAAGTTTTCAGAATATTTCACAGGATCAGAATTGAAGCTGTACTCTCAGCGAGCTGCTTAATTACTGAGTTGTGCTGTGGAGCCCCAAGCTGGCCAAATGTTTTTTTTTTGTGTGGCAGAAAAAGATAAAAGAAAGAGATAATTAGGAGGATTCATATTATCAGCAGCCTCACCGCAGGTGAGGCGAGTTACACGGCAACTAAACAACGACCTTGTGAAAGATGTGTTTTAGGTTTGTATCGACTGTATAAAATACCTCGGTGTTTATAAGTTGGCTCTGTCGCATTTTTCCAGAATTAGATTTTATTTTCTTTTTTCTACAAACTCTAATAAAACAAACAAACAAATAAAAACAATTTTGATCTTCTACAGGTAAGATACAGACCGCTAATAAATACTCCACAGAAACCCAATTTTAAAACTAGTTAGAATAGTGAGATTTTTTTAAATCTTAACTTGTAATTTAATATTTGAAACTTGTCTGGGTCTTATTTTTATATATATATACAGCGATGCTTTTCAGCAGTACTCCTGTTCACATCGGCTTCTCATCATTTAATTAGTTACTTCATCTCTTCCTTTATGATGATTCTCTGTTGCCAGAGAGACGTGGAAATCTCTGTGGCATCACAAACCAACCAGCTTTGGCTGATTTGAACACAGGGTTCTATTGGTTCATTATGGTTGGAGAGCTAAAGTTTAATTCTGATGAAAAGAGCGGTATATATAATCATTTTGTCTTTTTGATATAAATCATCCTGCAGAGTCACTCCAGATGATTTTTGTTGCTTCCTCTTGTATATCTGAAGCTTTGCTGCTTTTTGTTTGCTATCCTGACGGTGATCAGCTATATTTTTTTTTAAGAAGAAATCTGACACCTAAATAATTGACTTCATTATGGCAGGATAAAACAAAAACCTTGTGAGCTAACACATTTTTTTTCCTCTCTTGTCTGAAATATCCAAACAGTTTTTCAGTTCGATTCGTTAGATCTGAACTCTGACGGTACAGAGCGGCTCCCCCCCTGCGCTGCGATTCGTGTTATTTATCCCAGCTTCTCTGTGGTCAGAGTCCATTTTTTCCGAGCCTTACAGAAAGCAGACAGATGGTGTCACTCGCTCTGTGTTTGGAGAGCACTGCTGAGGTTTTGTGGTCGGCCTCCATTAGTGGCGGGCAGCTCCTCGGTAAGAATCTTCAAATGAGGAGAAAAATACTCGCCATTTATCGGATGAGATTTTTACGGCAGAAGCACTTTTGACATTTCAAAGATGTTTTTGATGGGAACAAAAAACAAACAAAAGTTTATTTATGCGTCCTGTTGTCTTTACAGATGTTCACCTCAGAGAGTTGCTTCCTGAAAAGCTTAGAAAAAAAAAAAAAAAAAAACGTGTTAGCCGTCGGAAAGGAGGTGGTTGGTTTTCTCACCTGGATGTAGTCCAGGATGAGCTGATGTCGGGATCTGGCACTCGTCAACTCGCCGTCCGTGATGGCCTCCCGCAGTGCTTGCTGGGTAATCAGGGCGTCCAGGTCCAGAACGGAGGACAGGCGGCAGTAGAGACCGATGAACTTTTCTTTGTAGGTGCAGAAGTGAACTGAGATGGGAAACAAGAGTTTTTAGTCTGGATTGGACTAAAAATAAAACGCTTTTCATTTTTAAAAAATGCGGAAAAAGTTTAGGCAGGAAAAGTTTAGGCATCACAGCAGCTGTTGTAGTTTCATAGAGAATGAGGATGGAATATAAATTAATTTGGATATTTTTTTGGCACTACCACAGCTCCATATATTCTCTTTTTGATGAAGGTTCCTGGTCACTGCCTGTCCCGCAGCCCTTGAGCGTAAACTCAAATGCTCAAGTGCCTTTTTGGAATGCAATTGTTGCCCCAAAACAAACAATACACCCAGCAAAATAAACGAAAAAAAAAATCTTTAACTGTTTCTAGGATTAAATAAATGACCAAGCACCTTATTACCATCATTATTCTCTCGAGCGGCATGCAGTCGGAGCTGATCGCCATGATTAAACCGATCAGTAACAGATACAGTGAGCGGCGGCCGGAGCTCGTCCTGCAGACGGCTCCGTCCTTCGTGGACGACGTGGTTTTCGGCGGCGCTGGAGCCGCTCCACGGGTCGAGGACAGACCAAGCTGTGTTTGTAGCAGCAGACGCACTAAATCAGCCTGCAGGCTCCAGCAGGACGGCCTCTCTGCTGACCCCCTCAACACACACACACACACACACACACACACACACACACACACGAACGTGGTAATAACACCCACACACACTGCACAATATGCTCTCTCTCTACATGCAGAGCAGCACACACGCACACACAGATGCAGTTTCAGCCTCTAACTTTTGGTTTTAATGAAATACGACTTATTTTTCAGTTAGCTTTGACTTTTTTTTTTTTATTTAATGCCATAAAGGTTTAAAGCCTCTACTACATCATCTGATTTATTATCCAAACGTCCTGACATATGCTGCAAATCGTTCCAGAGATGTTGGGACAGTCCCTCTGAAGCGAAGATGTTCAAAGGATCTCTTGTTTGACAAGAAGAGTGTACAAGTAAAAATGATTCAGAAAAAGATCGGAAGAGATTTTAGAGCGACATCTGCTTCACGTCCATGAAGTGTGTGTGTGTGTGTGAGACGTCGGGCTCTGCGTGCTGCAGAGAGGGAAACAGTGTGCGTAGTTACCAAGCTCAAACATCTGCAGCGGGAGGTGCAGGAACCCTGACAGAGGGGCGTAGGGGTTGGACTGGCCGGGGGCGGAGCAGACATCGTCAGCAGGGGGCAGCAGCAGCAGGAAGGAGACGCCGTGGCCGATCTCCACCACCTCCAGACTGTAGAGACGGAAGTGGCGGGCCTGTGTGTGTGTGTGAACATACGGGAACATGATGGGAACCATGAAGGAACATCCATACATTCATGGTGATGTCTGTTGTTAATAGTTAATTAATTACTTTTATATTTTTCTGTTTTATTATATAGATTTATTTATTTTATTTTTTTTCCCTCCTCTGTTTATTTTTTGTGCATTCCTCTTTAAGTTTTGACATTGACTGGTAACTTTGTTAATTACAATAAACAATTAATCCATTTGAATAATTAAAAAAAAATTTTTTGTCCGCTCCTCTCCTGCCTGTCTTAGAGTGTTCAACCTTTCCAGATGGAATGCACAGGTGTCACACCTAGGGGGCGCTGCTGCTGTGTAAAACAATCTGAAGCTGTGCAGGTGAGCATACCTGGTGCAGAGGGACATTGATGTGCTTCAGCAGCGACTTGATGGCCGTCTGCAGCTCGTAGTACAGCAGAGGGGCGTGGCTTTCTGGCTGAGGCTCCGCCTCCTCCTCGTCCTCCTCGCTGCGTCGTTTTTCCCCCATGGCCACCAGCGTTTGGATCCAGTCCCACTCCTCCCTGAAGGAGCGCACAGGAGATGGTTACCTTACATTTATTGCCTGCAGGTGCATTGTGGGAAATGCAGTTCGGTCTCTTTGCCTCCTCTGGTTGCAGAGTCAAAAAATGACTTACGGTCTTAAACAAAATGTCAGCATCCCAAAAAACCCCCCCCACAAATGGTGAGTTTTATTGTCTGTGTGAGAGAGAGAGGGAACCTGGACACGTTGGCGTTGTCCCGGATCCGAGTGTGGCACAGCATGTTGGGGGCCCGCTGGGACACCAACACTTTGATCTGGTCCACGGAGCTGCTGAGCTTCAGGTAGCCCAGGTAGAGGCCAGGGGCGAGGCGGTGGGTGCTGCGCCGCTGGTACGCCAGGATGTCCTGCAGGGTCAGGAGGAAGCAAAAGAAAAAAAAAAAAAAAAAAAAAACTTTAACCACCAAAGAAAGATGGACTGGAGAGTTTTGAAACCCTGGCTATGATAAGGAAACTAATCCTCCAAGCACACAGACATCGATTCACCTCGTATCTTCTTTTTCATCTTTAACTCTCTGGAAAGTCTCTTAAAGGGGCAGTATTGTTTAAAATTGACTTTTTTGAGCTTTGCATCACTTTGTGATGTTATTCCCTCATCAAAAACATATTTGTAGTGTTGTTTTAATTCTTTCTTGAATGTTTGATTATCCCTTTTATCTCCAGTGGCAACCATTCAGCTGTGCAAAATGCTTGTGGGGGACCAAGTGCCTCACGGAGCACCCCTCCCCAGCCACTGCCCCGCTACACTCCTTCAGACTAGCCAGCAACAATCAGCAAACACCTGATGGAACTGCACATCTTCTGAGCTCATTACATGAGCTACTTCTCTGTGCAATGCTGGTGAAAATGTTGTAAAAGGGTTAATAGAGGAGCACTGTTGTGATGACTTTCTGAAGAGCAGGAATTTTTTATGAGACAGAGGCCCAGTTTCAATTTGCTAAATTACAACGTCAACTTTCTTTTAAGGTATATTTTTATAACTCAAGGTAACATAGTTACTTGATTGTGATATAAAATGGCACTACTGTATATAAAATGCATAATATTGTCCCTTTTACCCCTGTAAAGTAACTAAAAATTTTTTATTTACATTCGTTCCTGTTCAAAAGATTAAAAAAAATAACTAGCTGTTTCATGTCTCGTTTCATCTCGTCTCTCATTACACCTGTCCCAACCATGGTAAGAGCACAAAAATGTTTCCAAACTCATATGGAAAGCAATATTTTTAAAGCTCTTTTTAAAGCAATATTAAGGAATTATTGACTTAAAACAGGCTCCTATATCTTGCTGAAAAGTAACTTTTATATTAGCGTTGTCTAATTTCTATCTGCACTAGGATCTAGACAAAAAAAAAAAAAACAACAACCCAAAAAACAAACAAAACAAAACACTTGGTGAGATGTTGTGTTTATGTTGCATTCTTCCTCACCTGCATGGTGATGATGAGGATGTCCAGCGCGTACGGCTCCTCCGGCGTGGACAGGGACTTCCTCTGGCTCTGCAGTTTGGTCACCTGCATCCACCTCCCGCTGAACAGCGAGTGCTGGCTCTCGGTGTCGCGGATGGTCACGAGCAGCACGTTGCCATGGCGATCCTTGATAGGCTCGTAGTGGACCCGGCCCAGGTTGTGGGTTCCAAGAAGGTTCTGTCCATACGAATAAAGCAGATTAAACCAGAACTGCAGCTGTTTTTATTTTTTAAAATCCTGCTGGTTCTGGGTTTAAATGTCCTCACTTGCAGCTGGGCGGCAGCAGTGAGCATCTTATGGCGGGCCTGCAGGGTGGACGAAGAAGACATGGAGACAGACATGCTCTGTCTCAGCCATCGGACATCCTCCCACATGCAGGACAGCTGCAGGGCAAACACAGGAGCAGGTCATTGTGCTGTGGGACTGCTAATATAGGAGGAAATGACCATTAGCTGGGACACTCTGTAAAGGCAGGAGTTGCAAAAACATATAATCTTACCAAGTAGTTTCACCTTGGTCCACTTGAAATAAGACAAAACTATCTTACAAGTAGCTTCTCAGCAGGACAAAGGAGTTTATTTTAAGTTAATAATTGCTTAATATTGCGTAAAATTTTTTTTACCAGCTCTAATGGCGGATTATTTCACATACAAAAATGGAAAATGTCTTGCTATAAGTGAAATAATCTTACTTTTCATCAGTATTAAGGGATTATTGACTTAAAACAAGCTCCAACATCATGCTGAAAAGTTACTTGCAGGGTAGTTTTGTGTAATTTAAAATGTACTAAAGATATTTGCACTAGAAACTATACCAAAAATACTTGGCAGGTTTTTAGTGTTAAGTGTCTGGTAACACAATGCCAAACAGGAACGACATCAGCTGTGGTCTTAGAAAAGCAACGATTGCTGCCTTTCCAAGTGGGAACTGTCAAAACCGTGCGAAGTTCACCATCCTGCACAGCGTATCAGTTAAACATCTCACACCGACTGTGACTTAGGGGATCATGAACTCCTCTGCATGCCAACATACACTAGAGTCCAAATGTGCTGTTTTCCTGCCGTTGTTCGCATCTGCATCGGGATGTTTCCTCACGGTCTGTGGAAACATCCCGATGTTTCCACATCCGTCTCTCAGTTAGTGCAGAAAGACGGCATCATGCATATAAAATCCAAAATCTATTTGGAAAAGTTTTTTTTGTTTGTTTTTTTGCTGACCTATAAATACACATGTTCTATAAGCTGAGCCTGAAGACGAAAACTTCCTGCATCTTATATGGACAATTTGGAGTTGTGCGTGTTTTGCCCCTGCATGGAGCATCTCCGGTTTTAAGTAAAAAAAACAAACAAGAAACGATGGACAACACTGACCATAGTCTTCATGTAACCGTCATAGAAAATATACAGCATGTCTTGATTTCCCTTTGGGATGAATAAAGAATTTTTGAATTTGAAAGACTGATGGAGTCAGACTGAAAACCACCAAGTTATTCCAGCATCAGCATTTAGATGTTAAGCTTCAGCGAGAAGTATGGACTCTTTTCATGATGAGCATGTCTGTATAAAGTTCATTATTATTATTATTATTATTATTATTTTTAGCCTAGGAAGACATTTCTTTAGAGTTGTTGCTCTTCATCCTATTTGTAGTCACGGGGGCAGGTGGCCATTGTTTTTACCATGTCTGCAGCTTGCTCTTTTCATGGACTTCCTTCAAACAATACTTTTCTCTGCCTTCCAAGAAATGTCGTTTCCAGCTCTGACAGTCAGATGGAATAAAAACAGTTATTTAGATTAAAGATGTTCTCAGAAACCTTTATCCAAATTGCCATGTGAGTACTTCAGACACTCCTTCGTTTCCCTTTATTCTTCTTGTTGCTGTCAAAGCTTTAAAGCCCAGACGGCCGGTGTTCATTCAGACTCGGGGCTCTGTGGTGCTCTGCGGGCTTCAGGGGGGAAAGTGGTCATTTTCCATGTCAGACTCGGAGCTGTAAAGCTGTAAATGTTGCTTTCTTTCCACTCAACACAAGCATTACAGCTGCAGTTGCTCTGTGGTTTAAATTGCTCAGCATATCTCTGAAAAGACTAAAGCACAATTTCCTGGAACCTAGCGGTGACATTTGTCGAGCCTAAAACTTTGACATTTTGTCCAGATTTGCGAGATGACATCAGAGAATTAAGAAAACCCGAAGGAATAAGTAAGATTTTAGAAAGTTTCTGCTGAAAGATGAATGAATTAGATAGAAGAGGGGTGAACAATAAGCAGAAGCACTGTGTTTGTTTTGAAAGGTTGATTTTAATGAATATAGAAGTGGCAATTGATGCAATAACCTCACTGTGAATAAAATATTAGCTCTAGGAGTTGATTAAATGATTTATAAAAGAAAAAAAAGCCTCAAAATAAGACAATTTGCTGAAAAAAATGATCATATTCAGAGCAGTGATTAAGCCAAAACTGCAGAATATATATATATATATATATATATATATATATATATAAAAGAAACTTAGTTATTTGTTTATTTGCATCTTTTACTGTATTTGTAATATTGCATACAAAGGCTTAAGTGGCTAAAAGAAAGATCTTCAGAAAGTGGCACATTTTTTAAAAATCTTTTTATCGATGGAGAAATACATTACTAAAATTAAGTTAGTTGCAGCCATAATAAGTACAGTGTGTGCTAGCAAACAAGGAGGAAAATATTAAAATGTGTTCAAGATATACTAAAATACCCTGCAATATTCTAATACATCTTAACCCCTTGTAAATCAAATGCTGTGTCTCCCCTTCAACAGTCTGCATAAAGTAAAAAACACCAAACAAACGTGTATTTATTAGTTTGAGGTAGTATTTCTTAATCTGGAATCATTTAGGATGCAGTTTGAGCATTTATGATTGTGGAGCAAGTCATCTCAGAGGGATGGTGTGACGCAGCCGCTTGGCCGTACCTTGGTGAACCAGAGGAAGTCCTGCATGAGCGAGCTGCTGTAGGAATCATCCACTTCCACGATGGGAATCTGCTCCTCTGCAGTCACTAGTAAGCTGTCCTTGTGGTAGAAAACAGCAGCCAGGTAAATCCCCCTGCACACAGCGTGGGACAGGTGTTGGATTTTTTTATTTTATATTTTTGTTTGTTTCACAGTCTTCAGCTGTAGGTTCATATGGAAGAGGAACAGGGCCATGAATCTCAAAATTCTGAGATTTTTTCTTTTGTTGTCGTTAGTGACCCTTATCCTCTTCCGTAGGGTTCAGGTGTTACGGGTCTGTGAATCAAACCTTTTCAGTGTCTTCACAAACTTGTTTGAGGAGTTGAAGAGGTGCTTGAGGCTTCTGGAGACGGACTGCTTCCTGCTTGGGTTCTGAAGTTTCGACGAGTCTACAGAGAAAAACAGCAGACGAGTTTTTAAAAACGTTCAGGCAGAACCGACCGAAGCGTGACGTCCAGGTAAATCCAGTCCAGTTGGCAGATGCTGTAAATGTTGAGGTGGATTTTTAGTTTTCCGTGCGTAAATTCAGGGTCAGGGGTTCGGTCATATTTCTCTCCCACGTTCAAGTTATCTCCTTCATTCCTCCTCCTATCTCTGTTCCCTCTGCGTCTCCCCCCCCCCCTCTCCACAACCGGAGCGTTCAGGCGATGCCAATCTCCAGACCGCAGCGGCCTTTTTACTCTGACTAATTACACGCCGCATAATTATCAGGCTGTAAACAAACGAGGAGCTTACAAACATGATGCCGTGCCTGAAGTGACCGGTGGCGCGGCGGCGCGGCTGCCGACAGGAACCTGTTTAGCTCCATCCTGCCACAGAGTGAAAACTATCTGTGACAAGAAGAAACGCGCTTGTTGCGTTTAGGTCAAACTACCGGAACGGGTCCTCCGCTGGAAAGACAGGATTTATCCTCTGATTAAAGGCAGAATTCCTGCTTCTGTGGAACGTGCTGTAGCCTGAGCTGCAGGAATGAATGGAAAATAATCAAGTACAGTTAATGAAGCAAACAGGAAATATGTTATTTATCAAGAAAACTAAGAGTTGATCATGTTTTTTTTGTTTGTTTTTTTAACAAAACCCTTGTTTTTAAGTTTGAAATGTAGATGAATCAAATCGATAACAGAATGATTCACCTCCTGGGCATGTAAAAATCATTATGTTTTTTTTCTGTTCAGAAATATATGCAAACTATTTTTTACTTGTATTTCAGAGCTTTCTTCAGCAGTGAAGTTTAGACATTTTTATCTAATTTTACGAACCATCAGCACCAACCTAGAGATGTCAAACAAAGAGGACAAAAAAGTAATTGTGTTAACGTCTAATACAACAAATTCTGAGTAGTGAGAAAGAAAAAAGTAAATTCCTGGAAAATAACAAGCATGTTAACAGAAACTAAGTAAGATTTTGAGAGTTAAAAATAACAAGAACGTTTCTGTGAAGTAACCTATGATTTTCAGAAAAGTGGCCTTTAATTTCCATGAAACTACTGCAGGTGTTTCATGGAAATGGTCTGCTTTAATCAAACTCTGGTTTGTTTGGGGAGATGGGAATGTGAAGTCAAACTGTTATGCGAACCAAAAAAAAGCAAACTATCTGGCACAAAAAACCCAGGTTGCGCGGTTCGAATTCAAATGCGATTGTCAAGCGCAGGGCATTCTGGGTAAATAAAACCCAAACAAATGTGTGACGCTAACACTAGCAGGGGAAATGGCTTGCGGTCTTTTGCCAAAGACAAAAGTAACATCCAACAACCGCTACAATCTGACACTACTCCGCTTTTATTTACATTTCATGAAGAAGTTGCGCTCAGTGTCTTTTGGGAGGTTTTCGTGTCGTTTTCTTCGGCGGTTCTTGGACCAGCGCCACCACAGGCGAGGAGGTGAACATATTTTTCAAAGGAGTTTATTTTTGTTAAGTTGGAAAGTGAGCAAAAGGTAGAAAAACACTTGTTCTGCTCAAATGTTCTAAAAATGTGACAGATTTGAATATCTTTCCTTTGCTACTGGGAAGTCTCAAGAGCCAAATTGCGTTCCCATTTCAACCAGCGGCGGTGCTGGTGTGCGTCTGTGAGCCGTGCGGCAGCTTTAGTCCCTCCTGCTCTGATGTTTTACAGTCTGGCTGAGCTGTGAACAGCAGCAGCATTCAGCAGCTGTAAACGGTCTGTTTGCATGTGTGTGTGTGTGTGTGTGTGTCTGCAGCGCTGCAGGTTAACGCCGTCTGACAGCAGAATAATCTGACAACAACTCTGCGGCCGACTGCGGAGCGCCGCCTAATAAATAAAGAATCGAGCTCAGGTTGGAGCTGATTAATGAGACAACATATTTTCTCCCCCCTCTGACAGCACGAAATAAGAGCAGCTTCACCTCAGCCTCACGCGGCTCTGACCTTTTCGTAACCAATTTTCTCTGATTGTAAACACCGATGTGACAACAAGTCAAGCGAGCGCTTGGAGAGTGTAATCAGTGGAGAGGAGGGGAGGGGTTGGGGGGGGCGAGAAAAAAAAAACACAACAAAAGAGTATTATGACTTATTCTGAGTTAAACTGCTAAGAAAAACCTGCAATCAAACAAATGGCAAAATAAGTTCGATTGGTTTGATAGAAGAAAGCCTCGAGAGAAGCAGGACTAATGAGGACTTTCAACAGAATGAGCCGGATTTTCACTCTGGACTGAGCTCTGATTATCGGGACATTTTACTGAGCAATGAAGGCTGAAATGAGATGCTTTCTAAAGAAAGAAATTCTATTTCAAGCAGCAAACCCGGTCCAAACCAAACCTTTCCTAGAGGCAGGAATGTGTGAATGCTGCGAGGTCAGATTATTTCATTTCCATTAGTCTTTATTAAGATTGTTGTCATTTCTGTCAATGAGAGAAGGCTTGTTGTAAATTAAAACAAGTGTTTGTGTGATTTTATTAGCGAGTGGATAACACTGTTGTAAATATACAAGATTTAGCAAAATGCAAACTTCCCTCCGTAGTCCCATAAAGCAAACAATAGATACAAGAGCAACATTAATTACAATTTCATAAATAAAAATAAAAAAATACAGAAAAAAAATCAACAATAGATGTGATAAACTATTTGAAGAGGTCCATATCAAAGTGCTAGCCTTTGTAAAAAATGTTTACAAAGCATTATCTGTCAAAATAATAATTGCTGAAACATAAATTAAGGTTCAGCAGCGATCACAGCGCCGATTGCTTTAAGCTTCCCCTTACAGGAGAGGCTGTCGATATTTCAGCACCTTACATCCCATCACTGATAAAACATTCTGCGAAAAGGAAGATTTTCTAAATTGAATGTCAAAATCTCCCCTGCAAGGTGACCTGGTTCTATTGCTATGGTTTTTCAAAAAATCTTTTAGTTATTGTGGGGCCTTACTCATAAAAGATGTGCAAGAGTAATTTTTAAGTCATTTTAAATTCTCAAAATGTTAAAATATATATATATATTTGATTGAAATTAGGCAAATACGATAAATGGCAAGCAAATAGATGTACATCAGCTGAGAACCGACTGGAGAAAAGCAAAGCCTGACAGTTTTTTAACCCGGCTGGGTCAGAAGTGAACAAGATTAAAATAGTTCCTAAACTTTGCGTCTGATGTTCGTTCAGGGCTGTTTTCTCTGCGATTCTGTTGAGGTGTTGACCAGCTGGGAGTCGGAGCCGGCGCACCGATGCCGGCGCTCGGGCAGATTAATGCGACGTTCCCTGAAAGTGGTGGAAATACACGCGCACGCGTCATAAATTACCGCTGCCCGCTGCTGAAGCGGCTCTTTGTGCCCACGCTAATTAATTTTACACATTTATTTTTGGCTCTCGGAGCGTAAACTGTGTAAATACAACGGCCAGCATGCGGGCGGCGGGTGTACGTTACAGCTGCAGACACAGCTGGAATAATAACCACCCGGACCTCCACACCAACACGACGTTTAGCGCCGAGTTAAACCTGCAGAGCCGGTAATGCGCGGTGAAAATGACAAAATGACTGCTTCTAGTGCATATTGAAAATCAGTGGAAACTGATTTCCTGCTTGAGTTTTTATTCTGCTGGATGTTTAAAATATGTTGATGACAATTACTAGACAATCAAATTAGCTCTTAGTTTACTGGTCCAGCTTCCTTCCAACTCCAATCCATGGTCGTGCGACACGATCAAGACTTAAAGCGTCTTAGTCCAGCTTCCTTATCAACATAATTTATCTCAAGCCAGGTGGGAATTCAACTCTGCGTGAAAAGTTTAATTTAACATCTGAATGTTTAAGAATTGATTGGATTCAATATCAGTTTCAAAATCACTTTTACCTGATTAATATGATTTTTTTTTTCAAACTCACATTCCAGAGATAGATTCTAAACTCATAACCAGTCATTTTTATGTCAAAAATCTGAGTTTGAGTCTCACGTGTCTGGTGTAAACGTTACCTTACAGACCAAGGCTTGCTCAGTTTTACCTCTCACATCTTTGTTGGCAATGGAAGTGTCTGCCAGATATATAATTAGTGGCGATGTAAACGTTGGTCAGAGGCTTTTAGCGGCAATTTAAGTGTCTTGTCAGACATTGTTTTGAGCCTCTGGAAAACGCTGCTGTGGACCAAAAAGTCAGCAGCAACCATCTTGGGAAATGACAGGAAAACAGCATTGAAAATAACACAAATATGTACACATTTCAGCATGTTTTGAAGCAAAATACACTTTTTACCCTTGTTTGGTAACTTTTATTTGACAGGGTGTGCATAAGACACTGTCATAAACATGATTATAGCACCTGTTATGAACATGAAGGCGTCTTCATGAATGCTTATGACTGCTGTGAGGAAGTGTCATTCGGTAAGTAATGACACTTTTGATGCAAAGTTGTACTAAAATTTGCATTAAAAGTTCATTAAAATGGCCAACTTTGCATTATTCTGTAAATAATAGCACTTTTAATGCAAAGTTGTACTAAAACTTGCATTAAAAGTGTCATTATTTACACAGTGACACTGCATGACAGTCATAACCATTCACACAGACGCCTTCATGTATTACATCATGTTTGACATAATACTCACCCCTTCAAATAAAGTGTTAGCCCTTATTTTTCTAAGAATAAATACCAAATTGTCGTTGCCATGAATGGCGTTGAGATTCTCTCAACAATACAAAGTTTTAATCGTTTCAACTGGTTTTGTTGTTGATTTCCGTAGGGCGTAGTTTACGTCGCACCAGACTGCACACAGCGCCCTCTACAGCCCGTCAGCACTTTGCACAGCTTTCCCTCCCGCGTGCCGGAGCAGCAGCGTTGTCTGGACTCACCTCCGCAGCAGTAGTGTGTGTGCGTTGCTCGGACCTGCTGCAGCAGACGCTCCATGGCCTCGATGTGGCCCCGCCTCCTGGGTTCACGGCCATCGCTCTCCCTCCAGTCTGCAACCGGAGAGGCATGTGGTGAGAAACTGATAACGGCATCATTGGTGATGCCATGGGGTCGGTTCACCATTCATCATTTCGGATAAGAATGCAGAAAAAAAACAACAACAACTCAGTTTTCTGCGGAGGACGAATATCAGAGCAGATGCAGCTGTTTGTATCCTGAGTGGAGGGCCGCTAACATTCTCTATGATGGATCTTTCACAACAATGTGAAGATGTGGTGTAGAAATGTAGATAGTAAGTCAAGGTTTCTGTCTCTGCTGCAGTCGTCTGGATGGCTCTCGAGTGAGTCCTCACCGATAATACAGATGCATTTATGGGTTTATTTCTTAGTTGTAGAAATAAACCCATGTCGATTAGGTAACTGAAGAGCAGGACGAAAACAGGTTATTTTTCAGATTAAATACTGAATGGATAAAGCAAAAGATAATAAGCAGTGCCCACAAAAATCTGAACGCTCAATTAAAGAAAGAAAGAAAGAAAGAAAGAAAGAAAGAAAGAAAGAAAGAAAGAAAGAAAGAAAGAAAGAAAGAAAGAAAGAAAGAAAGAAAGAAAGAAAGAGAGAAAGAGAGAAAGAAAATGAATATCAGAGGACAATTTCACCTTCAAAAAGTCTTTGGTGAGGACAAATAATTAAACGGTACAAGTTCAGGGACTGAATATGTGGAGCATTTTCCTGACCAGCAGTGTAGGGAGGAATGAATCGAAAGAATTTGGTTTCTGTTGTTACGCTCGCTGGTTCCAGTACACTTTTTATTGCAACGATTCCTTTGGGAATCAATAAGACAAAAAGAGAAATCTTCTTATGAAGCTCGCTCTTGTCTTTAGCTCATATTTTTATGTTTAATCGAGTCAAATTTCTCAACTGCTTGTTTTGTCGCCGGGTTTGTAATTTTGTTTGTTTTTGTCAAAACAGTTCTCAAAGAAAGTACAAAGAAAGGTCAAAACCTGATGAGGCTCAAAGGACAAAATACAGCCCAAACGTCCTTGGACAAATGAGGGCATCTTTCAGACATCCTTCAGTGTCTGCCAGACGTATTCTGTGGTAATTCAGACGTCTTCCAGATGCTTAATGAAAACTCAGATGTCTTTCAGACATACTCTCTCCAGTGACAAATCAAGACTTTTTTATTTTTTTCAAAATTTCAGTTGATTTATGTGGTTCAAATTCACACCCAATCATTCATACAATTCAGCAAACTCAATGTCTTTCATTGATAGGAACAAATAAATGTCTTTCAGACTTCTTCAGATGAAAATGTCATTCAGGAGATTACTGTGGTGACTCACCCACGGTGAAAAATTAGACACTTTCAGATGTCTGTATTAGTACTCCAAATACCAATCTGATGTCCTTAGAGACAATCAAAGTGTCTTTCAGGGTTTTTCAGAAAACATTTTTGGCTTTTGTACCAATTATAATGAGATGTTCTCATGTCTGCCAGACATCTTCAGCTATAATTCAGATGCATACAGATGCATTTTAGATGTCTCTAACTGTAATGAAAACAACTGTAAGATATCTTCACTAATGCTTTTTAGACATACAAATTAATAAGCAGTTCCCTGAAGACTTCACCTTTTTTTCTGTCAGCCTATATCGGACTTTTATCTACTGCAGTCTGAAATGCATAATGAATAATATAGCAAATAGTGAGGCTTTTTGAACAGGAGATTCTTCCAGATCACTTCAAGCGGTTTGAAACCTTCCTCAGAGGGAGACAGGGCCGGACATTTGGACCCCTGTTTTGTCGCAACTGGTGTCTCTGACTTCTGAAGCAGAAAAACCGATCGACACGTCAGAGAAGAAAATATGTTGCTGGAATTTGCGAGAACTTGTTAATGGATGCGGGGCTCTCGTGTTTTCACTCTGCTTATTTAAACACACCCGCCCACACACTCTCTGCCCTCCGCCGCTGTTGCAGACACACCGAGTGCAGAAGCGCGCACACGCTCTCGCAGCTCAAGGCTGAAGTGCTCGAGAAAGAAAGGGAGTCGTGACGGAGAGCTGGAGCCAATGTTCCAACCCCGAGGACCTCGGAACAGAACAAGCGGCGCTGCTGACGCTGGTGTTCAGACGGAGAGCTCGCTCACCGTCCACCCGGGCGGCTTTCTGAAAATATCCACACCCAGTCAGCTATATGCAACCAAAGCTTTTCTGCATCTTTTCTAACTTAAAACGCACAAATACACTAAAACGAAAGACAGATTCGCCTTCGACATCGGAAGGAAACGTCCACAATGACGTCAACGTTACAGTCTGTAATATGTTAAATACTCAACCAGAGAATAAAAGAGATGCGGCATTCCTGTTTTTATCTAGCGTTGGAGTTTTCAAAGCTCGATGTTACATTCAAGCATGTTTCACTGATGGACTTCCGTGCTTCAGCTACGCACAGCGCCTCATAACATGATGCTTCAGCCGCTTTGTCATTTGCAGTTTTGACAGTATAAACCACCTCCTGCTGTGACCGCAGTTCACTTAGCCTCCTGTAAAGAAAAAAGAAAAACTCCCCGGATTTTTCATTTGCAGACAAAACTATGGCAGTGGAGCATCTTCACATCCAGCCTATGAACTTTACAACTTTTAATAGTCATGGTCACACTTCCTTCCTTCTTTTTATTTTCTTACTGTGCTTCCCCCAGACTCTGCCTCCTTACTCACTGTCGCTTTAGGTGCTAAAAGTCTCTCCCTTTGATCTCTGGCAAATGCTTGGTGAAATTGGCGAAATATTTGCTGATGCTTTTTCTGGTTTATTTATTCTTTTTTTTTTTTTTTTCCCCCTCTTATGTCACGCCCCACCCCGAAGATCTCTGGCGACCCGAACGGAGAGGGTCGCCCACCCCGCGCTTTGAAAAGCTGATTCGGTGAGGGGAACTTACTGGACGGAGCGGCGGATGGAGGCAGGGAGGAGGCAGGCGGACCCCAGCCCTTCATGTTGTACGCAGACACTCGCACGTAATAAAGCCGACCCTGAAACACAAAAGCAGGCAGAGAAAACAAGGATTTTAATGATTTCTCCAGCCATGTTTTAAAAATAATGCTGCTGCATTGACAGCGTCCAGGTGGGCATCGATGTTAAGACTTGAGCCTCTGATAGTTTCTTGATAAAGGCAGGTTGTTAGTAACTACAAATTGTACCTGCATATGTTATGAGTGGATCGAATTGGGCTTAAAATCTCTATGTACAGTTTTGAGAAACCTTAAAGAGTCACTTTAAAACAGGAATTCAAGCGACAACATGGTCGTATTCGGATCATTGTTGCAGCATGTTGAAACGGTGACAACGTGTTTGCGCGATCTCATGTTTCGCCTGAAAACTGGATCAGACAGCAGGTGCCGAGTGTCCAACCAGCGGCAGTCCTGCAGCAGATGCTGCGACGCTGCATTTCTTTGCGTCGCGGGAATATCTCAGCCGGCTTCGCACGGCGTGTTCTCGCCGACTCCATTAAAAGAGCAAACATAGTTAATGTGGGAGAGAGAGCAGAGGGAGGGAGGAGGGGAGGAGGATGCTGCCGTTACCGTGGAGAGGCTGCTGATGGTGCATTTGAGACTCTGCAGATTATCCAGCACCATTTCACCGGCGAGCAGCGAGAAATCCTTCAGGCAGCTCCACTCCACTGCACACGCAAAGAGAAAGCACGCACGCACACACACACAAACACACACACACACACACACACACGGAGAGGTATGGGTAATTACGCCGAAGGTGTTAGCAGCAAACTGCCTCTCTTTTCATTACAGATCAATAGTTCCTCCTGAGGTGCTCAAATCATCATTAACCTTCTCATTGTTTGGCTGGAAGCCTGCAGCGCTCGTTGACTGTTACTTTCTGTCTCGGCGCAGTGGAGACGCTCAGCTGCAAAGCACATTTACCGCACAGTCTCACAGCGAGCATGTTTTTGCTCTTTAATGATCCAACAGTGAAGGAAACGTTACGGGACGTCTGTCCCCCCGTAAGACTCTCCGTCTTGTTAGAGTCTGTGTTAATCTGCTGCAGTAAGGTCTGAGAGCCTCTTTGTTTTTGCTGTTAGGAAAACTACAGAATTACACAAAGAAAATGTGTCATCAAACTTAATGGATGTTTAATTTAGGCCATGTTTTCCAAAGCCATTTTGTTTTGTAGGTGAATTGAACAGATTTAGACCTTAACATTGATTTCATTTTTTTTTTTTGGAATATATTTGTCTTTGTTTCTTGTGATTTTTGTAGGGTATGCATGTGTGTGTGTGTGTGTGTGTGTTAACCTCTGTACTTGGTCACCACTGTGGAGTTTAGACTCTGTGGCTCCTGGAAGGTGACGGTCAGCGTGGTACTGCTGCTCACACTTAGTCGAACCATGGTGGGGGCCTCCGGGGCACCTGATGGGGGGCCAAAGAGAGGCGTCAGCTGCAGGGGACTTACGGTTTAAATACGGGAGACATTAAGAAAACACATGGCTGTCATGTTTGATTCAAAGTCAGTATTTGAATCCCATACTAAGCCATTTTCCAGGACTTTCTTCCTTTACCTCAGCAGTTTTGGCCTTGTAACATTGGCATTGGAATTACCCCAGAGTAATGTGGGATAAGCCAGCTTACAGTTTCATTATCGCAAAAGTGAAATATTCTCCACTTTCAGGAAGCCAAAACAATTCAACAAAAAAAACCTTCACCTTGTCTGTTTTCAGAACTGGGCTTTAAAACTCTCCTTTCTTTGCATCTATGAATAGAACGCCCGTCATTGACATCCACTCTGTCCGTGTGGTTAGACTGAATCATGCACATTCATGAACTGAGTTTTTTTTTTTCCCGGTAATATGGCGTAAGACATTTTTTTTTTTTTATCGTGAATCTCTGCAACATGAAAAAACTCCTGCTCTTTGTCAGGTTCAACTCAAGCTCTGTCATTCAGGGAGAATACCTGAACCGCGTCTTCAGGCGTCGCCGGTGTTTTTGACTCACATGCATGCTGGAAGCCCGTCCTCATGCGCTTGTACAGCTTGCTCCTCCACTCCCACGTCCTCAGCTGCTTGTCTTTGTGGCAGGCCTCGAGCGACAGGCCGTCTCTCTGAGCCTGAGCCGCCAAGTCGGCCGCCCGCCGCTCGGCCTCCTCCACCAGGGCACTCAGGTGGGCCTCACGACTCTCCACGCTCACAACTAAAACACACACACACACACACACACAAAACACAGTTTTCAGTCATTTTTATCCAACACACCCTGTCTTTCCTACTTTGGAATTTTGTTTTTCACCGTGTTTCATTTTGGTGTTAAAAACTCCAGGTTTTAGGTAGTTTCAAATCAAAATTCTCTGAACGGTTCCGAAACGTCTTGTTGGATTTACATGTGGTGTGGAAGGAGCAACACAGACAAACGGCTTTTTTTTTCGCCGTGTTGAAAAAAAAGAGTAGAAGTAAAATATGATTTGTGGATAAATGTACTTTTATCAGAATAAGCTAAGTGTAATCTCCGAGTTATATCCAGAAAGTGTCTTATTGTGACAAACTGTCCGTCTGCTCCAATGTCTAATAACAGTTTAGATGGAAATTCCTGTTGTTTCCATCCAATATAGTACAAACATACATTTTGTAAAAAAAATAAATAAATAAATAAATAAATTAATTAATTAATTAATTAATTAATCCACATTTTTATACCATGACTAAAATAAATATTGTTTGTACCATTTTCAATTTTAGATTCATGTGGACTTGGCTTTTAACCTGGTTTGAATATTTTTTTTGTACATTTTAGTAATTTATTTTTTTTATTATTGTCTAAACCTACAAAATACGGAGGTCTGGAGCACAGTTACAAACATAATTAGCATGGACTCATCCAAATATATGTACAACCTCAATGATGAAATCAGGAAATCAGGTCTAATGCGAACAGAGCAGACAGGAAAGAGAAGATGCAGACGATGGATGGGTGAAAATGGCCCTGATCTATTGGAGGCTCTTTATCTGTCACGTGACTTCATCTGCATGTTCTAGACCTCTATATCATTGACATTTTTAATAATTTTATATTGGCCCTAACGTCCTGCTGTTTTCTGTGCATCAGGAACTCCTCACGCAGCAGTCGCCGCAATGAAGCAGCTGGCTGAGCAGGAAGAAACACCTCCAGGCCCGCTGCTGGGAATGCATGTTGGTTATGGCCGATGCCCATCCGTTTCCAAATGCAGCCTAAAGAACTGTGTTTCCGGGTAGCTGCAGATGTCATTCTCATCTTTATGGTAGATCGCAGATGGTGGCGTGATCCCCAGCAGAGTGGTTTTGCAAGTTGGCTCCTCAAAAAGAGCTTTTTTTTTTTTTTCTCCTCTTATGGGATGGTTGTAGCTAAACGAGTCATTCTTACAGAGTGGAAGTCTGCCTCACCTCCCTCTTTTAAATGTTGGCTGAATAGCATGGCTTCTTGTTTACATCTTGAAAAAATACGCTATACTCTCAATAATAACGTACCCAGATATGTTGGGGTGTGGGGGCCATTCCTTGAACATCTGAGTGATTCCACAGGTGTAGGTCACAGGTAGTGGCAGCCTTGCTCCGGCTCTGTAGCCCTGCTAACTCCCTGCCTGTCAGAATGGCTGTAGGTTGGCCTACCAGTCGGTGCAAAAGTGATTTAATATACCCTGATACATTCATTCCCAACAGTCTGGCGGAGCTGAATATTTTATTTAGTTGTGTTGTTTTATTATTATTTGTATGTGTGTCTATAATAATTATTATTATTTTTCTTCCTCTTTATCCGTTTCCTCCATCTATATTTTTTTTATTTTTTATTTTTCTTAATATTCTGGGATGGGTTGGGTTGAGTGCATCACCTTTTCTTTCTGTTAATCGTGGCTGTTTATTTTCTAGTAATATAAATGTATTCTGGTAGTTGTATTCTGGAACCTGTCTGCAGCTGTGATCTTACTTGGCCTCATCAACGGACGAAGACGATATAGAAGATCCCAGTGTTGTCAGCATCATCCCACATTAATTGGTTATAGCAGACTGTTCGATAATTTGCATGTCAATGTATGTTAACTGTCCTGCAGTTTTGTTAATTTGTTGAAAACAATAAATATATATATTAAAAAATAAATTTAAAAAAATGAAATATAAGTGTACAGTTTATTAAGATTGTTTGCATTTTACCTGTTTCATTGGCGTTAGTCCAAAACCTAAGAATGCTCTCACACTTACCTCTGAAACATTTTGATGGTCTATTTGTTTTCTATTTTGTTGGATATGGATCATTCTTTTTTTCTTTTAATGTACCGTATTTTCCGGACTATAGAGCGCACCATGCTATAAGCCTCACCTACAATTTTTTTTTGAAAAAAATAAAATAAAATAAAGAAAATAAATAAATAACTGGAAATGTACATATATAAGCCGTACAGGGCTATAAGCCGCTGGTATCTCCGCCGCTCTCGGTTTTCCATAAGGACCCAGCAGAGGGCAGCATCCTAATAAATCTGCTGGATATTAAGGAAGCAGTCCTCCGTTTCCAAACCCGAACCGTGGTTTCGTTCACGTCGAGTTTACGTGCAGCGGCTCCATTTAACTCCTGTACTGCCAGCTCGACAGCCCTCAACTTAAAACCTGCATCATATGAGTTTGAAAACATTTCTCCGTCGTGCCTGCTGCTAGCATGTGGTTGTTCTAAATGAAAAATTAACGCGTTCTTCTTTGATTTACAATTTTGACTAATAATGATTCACTTCCTGCTAGAGAGCCCCCTGGTGGTTGAAGAAAAATTCACAGAAAAGCCGCACTGGGCTATAAACCGCATGGTTCAAAGTTTAGGAATAAAGTAGCGGCTTATAGTCCGAAAAATACGGAATATAGTGGAGGTTAATAAAAAGCTCTGTTGAAGTCTGTTTTTGAATAAAAGTCAAACAAGTAAGCTCCTTGGTTGTTTTTAATAAATGACAAATATTTTGAGATCCAGCCAACATTTCCCATGATAAGGAGATTTTGTGAAAATTACACTCTAAGAAATTTTTGCTTGTGTCATTCTTGGTTTGTGGTCGGAGTGGTGGGTGGCATAAAATTATTTTCAGGGCCAGAAATGAAATGATCCCTGAGTTCCACTTTGGACACCCCTGCTGTGTTAGGCATTCAAACTGACTTTATGATGGATTGAAATCAGAGAAAAACATCCAGTTACTTTGAAAAAACAGAGGAACTCGTTTCTATGGCGATTTTCCCCTTATCCTGGGAGCATGAAAGAAAAGGAACCCAGGGCAAAACACTATGTGAAAAAATATGAAATACATTTTTTAACTATGTGCGTCACAGCTTCCAGGTGGCCACACATGCCAATTTTCATCTGTCTACATATGGTTTTTGTGTGTGTGTAGAGGTTCTAAAATAAGCCTTCAGGTCCAGTTTGGGAAGGATCATTACAGGCTGAAATAAAGTAGAAGTGAGTTGAAATTTGAGTGAGAGGATTTTTTTGGACATATTTGACAGAAAATTGTAGTCCTTTAATATTGCTACACAGAATGGATGAAAGTATATAGAAATGGATTTAGATGTTTAAGCTGTTCATGCGGAGATGAAACTGTTCCCATGAAATTAGTTTTAATCCAAAAGTTTTGAAGTATTTCACAAGGTGACATCACAACTCTTCATATCAACATCCTGCTGGGGAAAAAGAAGAAGAAGCGATAGTCAAATTTAAATTGTGAATGTGTAACAACTGTGAAAAGTAATCAGAAGGCCATTTCAGTCATTTTAACTTTCGAAAGTTTGCGGCTGTGGAGCATCAAGCAGGATCGTTTTTTATTCACACTTCTTTTAGTAAAACCCTATTATGCCTGAAGGGAAGGTTTTTGTTTATTATGTTGTCGATTGTGTAAATGCTGTTCACTGCCAACATTTATAGCACAGCATTCTTGATCAATTCCACACATTTCATGATAACCGATATTGATTTTAAGCTTAACCCATGATTAAGTTTGATCTGACCCCAAAGTCTCTGCAGAAGCACAGTTTTCTGTGGAAACTCGTAGCATCATACATACACAAAGTTTTGTTTTTGTGTCTTGTGGGGACTTTACATTGACTTCCATTAATGCTCTACAGCATAACCCTTACGCCATCTCTACCCCTACCCCTAACCATCACGTACCTAACCCTAACCCCATAAAAACACATACCTGACCCCTAACCTATAGACAGCATTTCCCTCATGCGGACCATGAAATGTCCCCATAAGAAGCACTGGTCTTCACAACCCCACAATGTAGACAGAAATAGTCCCCACAAAGATATAAAAACCTGATTCACACATACACACACACATATACACACACACTTGGAGCGCCGTCTGCCCCCACCTGGCCGATTTTACTTGGCACTTGAGGAATGACACAAACAGAGCCGGCGGCCCCTGGAGGCAGAACGGCGGCTCTGTTTGTTTACAGGGATGGGATTGTACCACCGTGTGGGGAGCGAAGCCCTGGCTCCAGGGCTGGCGTACCCCTGCCTCCCTCCCCCCGCCCCCTCAGCACAATAAATCACTTAGCTGTAATTGCTGCAGCGTTACACGCATCACTGGAAAAGTTCAGCCATTAAACAACAAACACCGTTAGAGCTGTCCGGCGGGGGGCCACGCGGTGTAAAGTAGCCAATGTTTCTGTAGTGCTGACAGCAGGAAGGTAAGAACCACCTGTCTGTGGAGGACAATGGGAAGACGATGGAGGGGCTGGAATAAGAGGAGGGAGGATTCGGATTGAATCGGCCGATGCAGACCTTCAACAAGCGTCTCTGTATCTGATTAGACCAAGGAAATCTAGCTCACTCCTCTACAGTAGTTGAGGTTTATGTGGTAGATGAATTTGAGTCCAGGGTTGTCTTATGATTCTAATTATATCAAGTCTGGAGCTTAGGTGATTTTAGGATTAAGGCTGACATTTAATTACTTTGGAAGTTAGAACTCAACACAAACAGCATGTCAGAAAACCAGCGGCTTATTTTGGCTCTGCTCAGAGAACAGACTAACTGCAATTAACAATGTGAGTTGTTTTTTTTTTTTAAGCTTTCAAATGATGCTACATGTTCATTGAGAAATGCTGCCGGACAGAATTGTGCTTATGACTGATTATCTGACAAAGGTGCAAAAAAAAAAAAAAAAAAAACAAAAAAAGAACAACAAAAAGCAATGTAAACAAAACAAAAACAAGTTATTACTGCAAGTCTTACATTTTCAGATCCAGATACATTTGGGTCCCTATCTACTCGTCTTTTATTATAGCAAATCCACAGAAAAGCTACCAGTTCTCACAGATTTATGTGTTTTTTGACAGTTTCTAATACAGTCGACATGTTTCTGCTTTTCAGTTCATATTTCTTTCTACAGGTTTAGAGCAGAGGCAGGTCCGACTAACATCTCTGAACCAAGATCAAGAAAAGCTACAATTCGCCACTTTTGGTCCAAAACCAGCAGCAAGTTCAACTAACGTCTCAAATCTGAGTCAAGCGGCAGGTCTAACCAATGTCTCTCTCTGAACTCGGTCATGGAAAAGGTGCAGCTAGCACCTCTAAACTATGAACAAGAGCAGAAGGTCTAGCCACCACTTCTGATTCAAGACCAGCAGCAGGTGCAGCCTATACTCACAGTGTGGACTCTCCTTCCCGCCAGCCTTCAGCAGTAGCTTGGCAATGGGAGTGTTGTTGGTCATGATGGCGATGTCGAGCGGCGTCAGGCCCTGGCTGTTGGGTGTGTTCAGGTCCAGCTCCTCAGCAGAAAACTGGTACAGCAGAATCTGCACGGTGTCCAGATCCTGCTGCTCCACGGCCTCGAAGATGCAGTCGCTGCCTTGCATCGTCTGAAAGGAGGATCACGGTTACTTGAGTTTAAGATGCCGTTTCCCTCCCGTAAAATATGATCTGAAGTTGATCGGGCTTCCTGAAGGCCTTCAAAAAAAAAAAAACCTTTCCTGCAGAGCTCCTCAACTCAACAGACGAACTCTTTCAAGGGAACATTTGCTTGTGAAGACACTTCACTCTGTGACCTGTGAGTCATTCAAGATGTTTTAAAGACTTCGTGTCTCTTTGAAACTCGTTGCGGCCTTAAGAATAGGAACTAACAATCTCAAATACATGAATGTCTGGAGCAAAGGTGGGAGAATGTGTAAAGTGGAGGCAGATAAGGTCTTACTTCTGCAGGTAGACTGATTTTCTTTATCTCTTTTCAATGGACTGCAGCTACACAAGACTAAAAAGTCGGGGAAGAAAACCATGGCAGGACGCTTTGAGGATGTTCAGAGCAGTTGATTTAACTTGGAGGATGCCTTGAATGAAAACTAATATTACTTCCTGACTCTGGCTGGATGTTTTGGGATTCTCGTCGTCTTTCAGGATGCAGGTGTGACGGTGTTGGGCAATAAGGGTCTGAACAGGGAGTGTTAAATGTCAGTGAAGCGCCGCGTATTGATCGGCCGCTCCCCTCTTCATCCGTCTGCGTCTTTCCTTTCATGTCTGCTGTTGTGGCTGGTCTGTAAATGTCAGTAGGCTGGCAGAGAATTCTGAAAGGCTTTCAACGCCCACACACGCACACACACACACTCGCATGTGCACCGCAGCGTGATCCGTCTCACTTGATGAGTCTGAGTGACCAAATGTTTCGTAGGGCTACGGGAAGGACACGATGAAGAAAGCTGAGAAAAAAAAAAAAAGCTAAGATGTTTCAAGGACGGACAGAGCGCCGTTGGACATGACACCCCGCCTCTAAGCAGTGGCGACGGTAGGTTTCAACCTTCCCCACAGCCCAAGGCAGCGGCTCAAAGATCCAGTTATCATCGCAGAGTTGGCGCTCTGCAGACGTCACCGTTAACCGGATCAGCGAAGCAGCGAACGAGACGGCTATTGATCCATCAGTCCGAGAGCCGAGCGGACCTGCAGCTTTCCAGGGTTTTCTTCCAACATCTCCTCAGAAAGTGGTTCAACATTCCACTGAGCCGAAAGGAGATTACTTCAACATTTGTTTGTAAAATTGTGGGAAATGTGACGTTCCAAAGTCTTGTAACTGTCGATACGTGTCATCCGTCCTTTGATTTTTGCAATCAAAATCCCTGATTTTGTGGTGCTAATTTACAGGTCGATCAAGGACAAAAATGTGACATCAGTTAAGACTAAAGTGGCAGTGTTGTGGAAGTAAGATATTCTGCAACCTGCATATGGGATTTTGTGGCCATTTCTTTGAAAAATTTGCAATAAACTCACAACTGTACTGAGAAAAAAGTGTTGCAATCGGTTGATTTTGCATGAGTATATGTGAAATTCAGCAAAACAAAGTGGAGACAGATGGCAGTAAACAGATAAAAAGCAGCTTTGATTTGACTGATGAAGCAAAATCAAAGCATGCAACCGTTATCTTGAAAGTTCAATTTGTGTGCCCCTCTGGAGTCTGGAGGAGCACATAAAAAGCTATGGCGAGTCAGATATGGCTCGCCAGAGCTCTGGATGAAGCTCCTCTTCTTCATCGAGAGCCAGAACACCATACAGAGGAAGCTCATTGCAGCCGCTTTCATCCACAGAAGAGGGTTGGAATGCAGACGGAGCCGATCATTTCTATTAGTTATGAAGTACACTTATATGGATTTTGAATTGTTATCCACAGAACAGAAGAAGAAGGTTGTTCTCTAAAAACCTTCATAAACTGAGAGGCTGTTTGAAGCTGTCGGAGGTCAGTGACTGTAGATTAACTCTGTGAGCTTTAAATGAATTAGGTTTTCTTTAATTTTTAGATTGTAATAACCTGGAGAGGATACGGTCAAAGGTTTCTGCAGTGATGATTGTTGCATTTGAATAATTCAAAATCTGTCAGGTCACTGAGCAAAGTGAATATAACCAGTGTTGACGTCACCTTTATTTGCCTCACCTTTTCATTTCTACTGAATGATGCAAAACAACGATTGTAGGGACTGAAAATGTAAAACAAACTTTGATGTTCATGTGTTTATTGATCGATAGGACACATGTAGCCGCTTCCAACATCATCTCTGCTGAACTCACCGAGGCTTTCCGGAGGCGGTCCGTTTTTCCAAAAAAGTAGGCATCTTCAAAGGAGGAGGTGCTTCCCCGCAGCTTTTCCGACAGGTTCCTGTAGAGGCGCTTGGCGGCGCTCGGTGACGTTGGCCCGCCAGGACACTTCCTAGTCTGGGACAACTGCAGGTTCTGCATCTGTTGGGTCATAATGCCTGGGAGATGTCTGCAAAAGGAGGGGTGGAGAGAAGTTCAATGTCTCCAGGGAATAAAATGACTGAAGACATCACAGGCTATAAAGATCAGCCTGTTAAAGAAAGGACAGAAGAAAAGAAGGGTCAAAATTAGCTATATAATGCTAGCATTTAAGCTAGCATTGATGGGTAACATTAACATAATCCAAAAAGTAGGGTAAATAGTTTTTAGGTCAAAATTAGTTAAAAGGCTAATGATACTTACTAAGTGAGATTATCATAATTGTTTATGCTAACATGCTGAGAAACATCATAACTTAATCCATTCAGGAAGCTAATTATGGTTTGTTAAAATTAGCTAGAAAGCTAATGTTAGCTTAAATGCTCCCGTTACGATGATAGCACCTAAGCTAATGCTATCAAGATTGTTAGGTAACATAATCCAAAAAGTAGGGTAAATAGTTTTTATGTCAAAATTAGCTAGAAAGCTAACGTTGGCTTAAATGCTGTTATCAAGTTTGCTTAAACAATGAATACCTGAAACAATAGCTCACTTGAAACATCAGTCAGTAAATAAAAACAAACATTTGTTTTAGTTTCTTCTGAGGTTATCCCTCGGAAGCACTGACCTTATTCTCGACAAAATCTAAACAAAATACAGGAAAGACATGAAACAAGAATGTTAAATAGTTGTCATGACAAAGCCATGTCAAGAATGCTGGGCCTGCAGTGACAACGCTGGGGTAAATACGATCTGTGTGACATCGATATTTCAAACATCGATGCTTTGAAATGTGAAAATATGCCAGTTTTGTGTTTCTTTGAAATGTGACTTTAAAAGGACTAAAGTATTTTTCTTTAATCACGGTGTTACTGATTGAGGTTGCAGCTCCTTCCTCTCCACAAAGGTCAGATGTTCAAGCTGCTTCTCCACATGAACCCGCTGACCTTTGAGGTTCTGACAGGAAAGACCTGACCTCTCCTGAGAAGCCGCACGGTTTCTGCTTCCAGTAACCTGCAGCTTTAAGGCCCTGCACCGGCGGAGTCCAACAACACAATCAACATGGCTGACCTTTCAACTGACATTACTGCCCTTTCTACAGACAAATGTTTGCTTCTCCTCTTTTTTTTTTTAAATCCACATTTAACTTTTTGCAAAACAGGGATGTAAGACCAGTCTGTCGGTCTGTGACTGCCTCCAGTTGGGATAAAGACGGGAAGATTTTCTAAGCTCTTCATTGTCAAATTAGATACAGCAGCTGGGAAATTATTTACAGACAGGATCTTTATTTAATCTGGTTTGTGTTTGACTTGTGTGTTACACCTCACCACATTGACGAGTTGGTTGTGTGAGCTGTGACTAAATATGAGACCATTCATGCAGCATTTAGGCTTAATCCCACTGCTAGATGTTCTGCATCCTGAAGACCAAGAGACACAACAGACAGGCTCAGGGATAAAGAGCAAAACTATAGATTTGGATGTTTACCGGGGAAAGCGGTGAAGTATGGTAACTGGAGGAGGTTTAGAGATCCACTGCTCAGGTAGACACAATTTATGACGGGAAAACTATTAGTTGCACAGTCCACAAATCCAGCCTTTTTGGAAGAGTGGCAAAAGAAAACCAATTGTCGTCAACGAAAGCCACAAAACATTCTGCTGGAAGTTTCTCACAAGTCATGACAGAGACTCAACACACAAGTAGAAGGCGGAGCTCTGTTTAGATCAGACTCAAACTGCTCTTTATGGACTACGTACAGGTCATTTCTTTCTCCCAGAAATAGCATTCAGAAGCGCCCGGCTCCTACACGAAAAAAACACAAAGTCCCTTCTGGAATTCTGCATTATTTTTCTTAATATTGCAGAACAATTCAAGTTGTTGGATCTGCTTTCAAAAGCTGCTGGGCATCGACGATGGCATAACAGAAACCAATTCGGCGTCGCCTTTGGAATCAAACCGGTTAGACGTCGCCTTGTTCCCTGCTTTTTCTTGTTATGAAGTGGTGCGGTGAGCCAAATAAGAGAGCTCCTGTTCCTCGTCCCCCACCCACAGCTCTTTGCATACTCATTATGTGCGAAGCAGCTGCTAACAGCGTCGCGGCTGCAGGAAACACACCTGCAGTGTGTCGGCAGTCTCGGGCTCCACCTGATTGTTGAGCACTTGGCCCAGCGGGACGTCGGCTTCGGCGATTGGCTCGGCGCATTAATGTTGCAGTCGTTACATAAGGCCTAATGGCTCCGTAGTAAATCTGCTTGCAAGCAGAGCCACATTAGCGAGGGTGATTATGTGGCAAAGCTGCTAACAGCTCATTTTCAGCGTTCACAGGAAATTTGATAAGCAATAAAATCTACTGATGAACCAATAATCTGCTACAATAGGCCTGAGGGTAAACATGTTTTTGTGTGTGTGTATGTTTTCCAACAGTTTTAAAATGATAAGACAAAGATCGTCACGAGGGACAGGAAGCCTGCCTTTTCCCAACTTCAGAGGTTTTTCTATCGCATTAGGAAGAATCAATAGGTCCACAAATGACACATGAGATTTTACAGTGCTTTATTATTCATTAAACAAAGACTAAACAAAAGCCCAGTGAGCTGAGTCCACCTCATAGAACTATCTTTAGCAGCCACATATTTTTGGTCTACAGTTTCCAGTGAAAATATCTTAGTACCCTTGAAATAAGAACAAACTAACTCACAAGTAACCTTTTTGGAAAATGTAGCAGCTTATTTTAAGTCAATACTGCCTTAATATTAATGAAGAAGAGTTACTTCCAGTGGCAAATTATTTCACTTACAACAAGGTAAAATTGTTCTGTTTTAAGTGAAATAATTTACCAGTGAATCTAGCACTTTTTCCATAAATATTAAGGAGTTGCTCACTTGGAACAAGCTTCTAATGTTACCTGTGAGTTTGTTTTATTATTTCAAGGACGCTAAGACATTTGCACTAGACACTAAATTGAAAATACTTAAGATTTTGTGAGTCTAGAGGAATTTTGGGCCACTTATTGTTCTAACCTTGCTTCAGTTCACTGAGTTGAAAGTGAACCTCTGGAGCACACGTGAGAGAAAACAAGTTTCTTTAATCTTGTACGTGTGTTGAACTGCTGCCTGCACTTGCGTAGCGCTTTATCAGATCCGAGGACTCCAAGATGCTACACCTCAATCACTCTTGCACGCACACACACATTCACACACTGATGGCGGTAAGCTGCTTTTTAGCTACAGCTGCCCAGAGGAAGACTGACAGAAGGGAGGCTGCCATTTTATCTGTACCATGGGCCCCTCTGACCACCACCAAGCCTTTTGCTAAGGGAAACAATGGCAAAGTGACAGAGAGACGGATTGGGGGTTTGAACTGGCAACCCTCAGGCTTCAGGATGAAACTCCTGCTGCCCAGAAAGTAAAGCTGATCAGTGGATGCATTTGTGGATTTTTTTGGTAATGTTTGAAGATAAAATGGAATACGATTAGAAATACAATGAAAATTGGGTAACTTCCATTGACTATGCTTTACAAAAATTACAAAATAATGGGTTGATTTGATTGAAATATTTTTATATCACAAACTTCAGGACTGTCTTCCCTTGAGAAAGACAGCGATGCTGCCACCAGAGCAGAGCTTACTTAGCGTCGACAGCTATTGATGCTCACCGGACGAGCGAACTTTAGATTGGTCGTGTAAAGCCAAGCTTATTGAGACAACAAGACTTTAGGAAACTCCATTAACTCATTAAAAAACAGGACTTTTCTTGTTCCAGTTCTACTGGTTATAAAATGTTAAAGAAAAGAGGCTTTTTATTTATTTATTTCGATTCAAACAGGTAACAAAGTGCATCAAAATATGTTAGCTGGACCCTTTTCAGGCTTAAGAGGATGAAAACCGAGACGCTGCCGCAGATTTAATTTTCTAATGTGTTGTTTTAGCGGGAAGCTGTGAAAAGACAACGAAAAGGACCCTCTTCAGGTTCACCAGTAGCTTATAATCCGTCCACGCATGCCGAAGTGTGCAGAGAGCAGCTTTAATCATACTTTCTGAAGTGAAAACAAGAGAACGAGGGACTCATCCTCCCCCGACATCCAGCTGAAGGGAAAACACGACCTCGCCGAACTGAAAATGACATTCAGCCGAAACTTCTGAGAGCGTCTCCTGTCCTGCGGCTCCAAGCACGGAGAGCGTTTTTATTTTATTTTTGTTCCACTCCGCGACTCTGATGGTTTCCGCTCAAAGCGCGGCAAAAGTCAGATGGGAACCAACCAGAGCAACAAGAGCAACAATTACACACTCCACTGGGTCCATCGGTAGACAGGGAGGGATGTAAGAGTATGATGGAGACACACGCACACACACACACACACACACGCATCCACTCAGCGGGCTCCGAGTGTTTGAGGGGGAAGTAATCGACCTTCGGCTGCAGAAGAAGAAAAAGACAGCAGCGATAATGAAAGCTTCGCACTAAAGAACATCGAGTTCGGAACTAGTAGTTAAGACTTTATTACATTACAGATGACAAAATATTTGAAAAGAGGCAGCCAGAAAAAAGGCAGTTTTTCTTCTTTTTCTTTCTGGCAGAAAAACTGCCAGATAATATTTGTGTATTTTGGAGCTTCTCCAAATCCACACCTCAAATGTGAACCGTTACGGCTACATAGCTGCTTTTCTGTGGATCCTCACAGAACCATATTTATTCAAAACAAATGCACGCGAGGCATAAAGGAGAAATGTTGTCACAACGACGTGCTGAAGGCAGCTTGTCAGAACGAGCAGGAGCTTCTTAAAGAGACAGAGGGCCGATTTTAAAGGCGTTAAATAGAGTCTTTAAGTCATGTTTAATACATGCAGCTTTAGGAATTTCTTTTAAGATTGAGTTGTTCTTTTCTACAGGGCACTCTAGAAGAATCTTAAAGAGTCAAGGAGACAAAGGTCACTTTATTAGAGACTCAATTCGAGCATCTTAGGAATTTAAATATAAAATATGTGCTAGGCTAAATTATGGAGTCTGTTTCAGCTCAACAGCTTAAATTA